GGTGGGTAGTTCCCAAGCCCAGGAGGTCCAGCTGACATTATTGGATCATCAACTTGGGTTGGTGCAACAACTACAACCATTGCTGGACAGGGTTAGCCTTGCCATGGTGCTCCATACATTGATAACTTCATGATTAGACTACTGTAATGTGCTGTATGTGGGACTACCCCTGCACCCGGTTCAGAAGCTGCAGCTACTGTAAAATGCAGCTGCTGGAGAGCATTACATGCATTAAACTGGTGTTGAAAGTTCTGCACTGCTCACCTGATGGTTTAAGGTTTAGTTGTTCACATTTAAAGCCCTAAACAAGTTGGGACCAGGTGGATGCCTAGCAGCAAAGAACGTAATGGCATTGTATGCCTTTGCTTAAGCTTTCTTAGACTCACTTAACTTATTAATTCTGTGTTATTGTGCACTGTACAGGTTTTTGTTTTGGTTTTTGTTTTTTGCCTTTTGTTTATATAAAGTTTTGTTTTTGCCTCATTTTTAGAACATTTTACTGAACAGCATCTTTTCTTTTTAAACAGCTTAAAGATTTCTCTTTTTTTGCTATATTAAGCAGTATAAAATCTTTATAATAAATAAACTAGATCTTCCTACAGAAATGTAGTGGATTATTTGTTAGCTTATAAATACATGCAGGCTGCAATCCTTCAACCACTTACTTGGTAGTAAGTCCAACAGAAATCAAAGGGACTTACTTTTAATAAGACAGGTATAGGACGCCACTGTTACAGAAAACAGTGAATAAAAAAACCTAACCTAAAATTCTGTGTGAGTTCCCTTTTCACCTCTCTCTATGTAAAATAAAATAATCTAAAATGGCAATAGTTCAGGTTTACTGATCATATTCTGAGGAGTTCTGAAGCCCTCAGGTGTGCTCCTGGTGTTATGTTTTCTAAAGAAATATTCAGCAATCTTACGCTCGGTTTTCCTTTGAAAAAGTATCAGCCTGACCTCGCTGGAAGATTATGTGAAAGCCCATTATGCTGATCTCCTTCCAGTGAGAGTGGTTTGGCAAGAGAAGTGTGGGAGCCACTAAGTGGATTTCCCCCCAACTATATACAAAATTAGACTTTTTTGCATTCATTATTTTGCAATGCAGTGACTTGCTCCAGAACATTCCCTGAGGTCCAGCATTCTTGCCAAGTAATGCATGACATCATACATAATATTAATAATTACAATTTATTCACAGATGGATGGACAGATGGACAGAGGTTTCTTTTAAGCTCAATAATATTACTCCCTTTTATCCCCCAGGTTCCTGCCTCCCTTTGTCTACAAGTGCTTGGCTCTCGAGAGAAACAGACGGATGAAATTAAGAGGCCAAAATAAGAAAGGTTCAGAATTATTTGAAACCTTCCATACAAAACAACGCAAGCTCAAAACTACCTTTGTTCTCCGCCCAGAGTTTATAATTCTAACCTTGCCACCCATTTGAGAAGCTGAACGTTTCAAAAGCCTTGGATTGCCCCAAAACAATTTCCACTATTATACTGAGCCACTCTTGTAGTGCTTCCAGATTTATTCTCCTTAAACATGTTGCCTAAAGCTGCAGTACACAATGTTGCTTTCTCATCTATGTTAGTTGGTAATGTTAGATGTTAGTTATGTCTCTGTTACTAAAATATGCCTCGTTCTGCAGCCAATAAGCGCAGGGCGCCTTTGCCCGGCCATGCTAGGGTCCATAGATTGCAGCAAAATACTGGGCAACATTTTGACCAGTATCTTGACCTTACAATTCACTCATGGGGAAAAGCTGCCTCACGAGCCATTGCAAAGGGGAATGCCTATATAGGGTTGCTTCCAGGGTCCTCAGGGCCATTTTGCCCTGAGAGCTTCCCGCCTGCCTGCAATGTACTCTTGCATGAGCTCCTCTCAAACCATTGTGCACTGGGGTCTGAATGGGGCTTCTGCATGTGGTCTGCTGATGTGCTTGTTATCCTTTCCAGAAACCATATCAAGGTTCCTGATCATGGCAGAGCTTCTCAGTGTATTCACAGTAAGTGCACAGGAGCCTTATTCAGACCTTCATGCTAAACATGAGAAGGTATGAGTGGAGCTCCAACATTGAGAGGGGCTTGTTTGTATGCTGCTGTCCCTCTGCACAGTTTTAATTCTCTTGCACTCAGAAGAATACCTAAATAAGGCTTCCATTTCATTTCAAATTCAACTTGGAGAAATTTGCCTATCAATAGCAATAATTAGATATCACATCTTATAGACCTTGATGACCTTCTGAAAAAAAATCATTCCCTGTGAGTTTATGAACCTTGCTACATCTCTGTTTAAAGCCATGTCTCCCCCACACCTTTAAAAAGCCACCCAGCCTTGAGTTCACCTTGGTTTTCTTGCTTTCCCCCACATTTATCTTTTGAGTTTGACACGGCACAAAATCAAACGTGTATATCTTTATACTTCTTAAGTGGACATCTTGACAAACATTTGTTCCTGACTTGACAAAGCTCTTTTCCCCATGTATTGATAAGCAATCATCATTTGTCTCACAAATAGGCATTTGCCCTACAACTCATGGTGCATCTTGTATCCTCTGAGGCTCAAAATAACAAAGAAACTTTTACCAGCCTCATGGACTCCTCACCTAATCAATGACAAAATAGTTCAGTGCACATTGTATTAGAATCAAATACAGGAATTAGGCACATCCATTTTCAAGCCTTTGAAAATATAAGCTTGGGTGAACTTGACTGTAATGCCAGCAATGTGCAGGGAAAGGCAATTTATGCATAATAAAAATAAAATATATTGAGAGAGAAAATATGGATATTTTAAATGTATACATATAGAAAAATTGATACTTTGATGTGGGCATAATCCAAACACCAGGTTCAATGTGTTTCTTTTTCTCTTCTATGGAAGAAAGATATTTCATGCACTCGCATGGATCTCTCTCTTGCAAATGTTTACTCTTTCTCTGTATGTCTGAATCTGAGTCTTCATATGCTGATCAGATTGTAGGAAAGACAGACATCCACTGATATCATTTACTTATTTGTAAACCAGCTTTTGTCAAAAAGAACCCAGCACAATGAACATGTGAACAAAATCCATTAAATAGCTCTTTTTCTCTATCTATCTATCTGTCTGTCTATCCACACACTAAAAAGTGTACAGCTCCACTGAAATAGAATTATGTAACATGACATACCCTCTAACATGTTGAGTCCCAAAAACGGGAGGTGTGTCTTCCCATCCATGCTCCCATGCACGTCACGTGACCTGAGCGAGATCGCAGAGTCCAAAAGATGCACTTTGGGGGGGGCTGTGCTCTCATATTGCCCCCAAAACACACATTTTAGGGTGCCAGATAAGATCACAGCCCCCTGTGACATCATGCAGAGAAATTGTGTGAGATCATGCCAACCAAAATGGCCACTGTGCTTCCATGGGGCACTTGTGGGGTATGACATGAGGAGTACACGTCTTACTCCTCAAACTGTGAAAGCCTGAGCAAATAAAAATGTTTTCCTTAGGTATCTGAAGTCCAAAAACGTGGAAGATTATAATCTTATTTCTTTTTTCCATCCCCACCCCACCCCACCAAACTGCACCGCATGCAACATATTCCTGACCAAGGGGTATGTTCTGCCTCTGAATACCAGCCAGGCAGAATGCTGTTGTGTTTCCCAGAGGCATCTGGGAACAGGCTCAAACTAGGCTGACTTTTCAGTCTCCCCCAAGAGCTATCTGAGTAAGTATTTCATGACAAGCCCACATCAATGGAGAGCCAATATTAGTAGTGTAATGTTGGCACGTTGGTGATTGCATGATTACCAACATCTGTGGATGGCCATTTCATCAGTTTCACATTCAATCTAAACTATAACCAAATAGAAATGTTGGATTGTATGACTGAACTTCAAACTTAGATGAAAGAGATCTGGGAAATCTAATATGCAAAATGCGCTATTTATACGTGGAGAACTTGTCAGTCTGGCATTTCCTGAAGAAGTTACTGATCCAATTCAATCCTGAGAAATTGTAAGAGTGTTGTATGGTTCTTCCTCCATTTAATTATATTTGATCCATAACGGAACAGTTTGAGGAACTGGCTGGTTTTCTCCTTTGTCTATATACAAACAATTCTAGGGGATTTTGCACATCTGGCTGCACTGGGCTTGCTAAAGGCAACAACAGGTTGAAAAAGTACAAATGTATTCAGTTCCATTTACTCATTTATATTTGTTAGGTGGGTTTCAGCTGTTCGTTAATGGATTTACTGCTAATGTTGTTATTCTCCTATCATAAACACTTGCATGGGTTTCACAAAGTCAGATAGCTACATAATAAATTTTAAAAGATCCATAATGCTTTCCTTTTTATACAGTGAATACTTCTGTCTAAATAGGGCTTTGATTATTTTACTTTATTTTTTCAAAAAAACAGCTCTGTACTGATATTACCAAATATATGTACTGATCCAGACAATAATGATAAGTAATTATCTCATTTGCAAATCAATGCACACGTAAGTGCAGCAAATAATCTATATTCCCCAGTTAGAAACATCTGAAAGATGATAATATCCTCTTGACTCTGAAAATAAACCCAATCAGCTATAGTGGTAAGGGCATATTACTCTGGCTTTGATAAAGTGCTTTCTACTGAACGAAAACTATGATAACCTCCTAGATCTGGAAAAATGTTAAAATGTGATTATGCAAGAATTCTTCACTCTTGTACTTTAGTTTCTGGCTCTAGAGTTCAAACCAGAAAAGAATTTTCAAAGACGGATGACTAGATTGAAATGTTGATGTGTGATCATAAGTTTCCCTGAAGCCTGCTTATTCATCTCAATAGGGAGAAGATCACCAAGGGAAGCTCTAATTGGTCCAGGGGCATTTGTATTAACTACAGATTATTACTTCCTGTTGTTTTTTTAAAAAAAAAACACTTTGCCCTGTTGGACATAGAGAAAGCTAAAGCCTGGATAGGAGCATTATATTTCTATATTTGCTCAATCTATTTATTCACAGTTATGGGAAGAAGATGTGCCATTACTTCAATAAACTGAACAATAATAAAAATATCTGCAACTTGGTGATTATGCACTTTGACACTGAGCCAAGGTCTTCATTACTGCAGATCAAGACAGTGCCCAAAGCAAGAAAGAAGGGAAATGAGACAGGCCAGACACAATTATGCCCACCTGAAAAGAAGTAAGGTAATTATAAGTCTACCATTATCCTACACATTCCACCCGACTTTGAGCACTGGATGTGAGCAAAATGCAGACAACCATCAACCCTGCTGTGTCTTTGTAGATCCAGAAGATTTTACCATCTGGCTTTGGATCACTGCTTGATCAGGGACTTGATAGTTAGCCTTAGATCTGGAATATGAAGGAACTAATGGGTGAGATCCAGCACAGTGTGCCCAGGCATCCATTTGTGCAATGTGTCTCCTCCTTGCTACTCTTCCCCCTTCAGCCCCCCATGCACTCTGGAAGAGGTTTGGGGAGCACCTGTGCAGACTGGAATGGGGAGAAAAGAAACTGGAAATCCCATTGGGCAAGTGGGCAGGCATCATTGAATATCATGCCAGGTATCTTTTAATGCAGTTGCCTTTTCCAAGACTGCCTTCAGTTCTTGATTTGATTGCACTAAGAGTATATTCAAGTTTGGTGACATTTAAACTAAAGTAATCTGGAAGAACCTAAAGTTCTTTCCACAAAATGTAACTGTGTAAAGTGGGCTAACATAACTAGAATTTGCAGAGTTCAACGGAAACCACAATATATTGTTATAAGCATCCAAAATTATTGGTTATGTGAAGCTGTTTATATCAAGTAGTGACTTTGAATTAACAGCCCAAACTGCAGTCTGCCTGTGCTTTGATTGTGCAAAATAAGTCCTCGTAGAGTGTAGTACTATACTGTCACTTCCAATTTATTATATTTTACTCTTTGGTCAGCTGAATAAAGTGGTGAGCTTCCATTATAGTATGTACCATGTTATCCATTTTTATTTTTAAAAAAATTACAATAAATTTGCTTTCTTCTGAATATTCAGATGCTTCAAAAGGTACCCAAAGGATGCAATTAGACCCAAGGGATCTTCACCAAAATGTGCATATATCATATTCAGCATAGACTTTCCATCATCTACATAATTTATGTTTTTCTGCATAATTCCCCCTTTTAATGTTTTATATGTGCGAGAGAGATAATGTAGAAGCCAGCTTCCTACCACCAAAAATACAGAAATAACTTAAGTCAGTATTCTTACTTCGCCCAATCTGCTAGTGATATACTATGGGGGGGGGGGAGTGCCCCTTGAGGGATCCTTTCATATGCACCAAACTTCAAGGCATAAGGGAGGAAATGTAGAAGGTTCAGGAACCCTTCAGAAATTAAACAGAACCTTGTCCATTCTCACATTCATTTGGGTATTCACTAAAGTCCCTGATGAATAAAGTTAAAATGCTACAGCTTTTAAACTGTTTATAATCCCCTTTTTGGTTTGAAATAAACAAAATAATGTTAAAATCCTGTGATTTTTGAAGCTTGCAGTGGAAGTAGCTTAAATACAACTTTTTTCTTTCATTGTTAAAAAAAAACAGAAGAGATTAATTACTGGAAGTTTGCTTGTACTTTATCATTAGTATTACTTTATTTGTGGGCAGGCAATTTCTTAGGTTGGATATTATATTACGTGGTAATTTATAAAGCCATGCAATTGTGTCCCCTCTTGGATCCCAATTCACAGAACCCCATGCACAGTTAACAGACTGTGTATTGTCACACTGTGATATTTGGTAATCTCCTGCAGCTTTGACAGCACCACTTACTTGTGGCGGGATAGGTGGGACGGAAGCAAATGACAAGTCTAGATCCTAGATGTAAGAGTTGATCTGCACATTTTGATAAACCATTTGGCATCAGTTTCCAGGCATTGTAGAATTTGGGACTGCAGGCATTTCATGTGCAAATGCTTCTCTAGATAACAGCCATCATTCCACCTGTAGAAAGCTGAAAAAATAAACACATTTTTCTATGCAGTTTTAACTAATGTACACGCTTTTCCCACTAATATATTGCATTTTTGTATGTTCTTTTCACACATACACACATACTGCTTTTTTGCGCTTTTCCCCTCAATATAAAGATTTTTGTTTGGTCGGAGAACTGCAACATGAATTTCAATGGATAGCTATGCTTCTGTTCATGTATTGTTCCTGTTTGGCTTTGTATTTGTTTCCAGATTTGGTTCAAAGTGCTGATATTGACCTTTAAAGCCTCAAAGACCACCTTTTCCCATATGAATCTGGCTGTTTTTTAACAGAGGCACCAGAAGCCCTGATCTGTGTCATGTAGAAAGGCAAAAGAGTCAGGCCTTCTTGGTGGTGCCACAACTATGGAACGTCACCCTTCTGGTAGAGAATCACCAGCTGTCCTTTGCCATAAGGTAGATAACTTTAAGCCATGATGGCTATGCTTTACAAGGGCCTTCTCTGTAGTGGCTCCCTGTTTGTGGAATGCTCTCCCCAGGGAGGATTGCCTGGCACCTTCCTCAACCAGGCCTTTGGCTGATTAATATTTGACAGCATTTTAGATGTGTTTGTGGGAAGTGGAGGGTGATTGTTTTGCTATTCATTTTAATTCTTTGCTTGTTTTATCCTGTATTTTTTTCTGAGAGCCACCCTGAAACCTTATGATGAAGAGCTATCTATCTATCCATCCATCCATCTATCTATCAAATCATCCTCATCAAACCAATGTCATCTAACCTCTCCACAAACTTTTTGCAAACAAATCAGAACAAATGCTCAATAAACAGGTCATTAGCATGTGACCAAAGTATACTTTGGCTGCAGGAGGTAAACAACTGTGGAAGTTACTACAACCACCATACTCTGTTGGTTTCTCTGAGGCTTCTGCTTCACAACTGTTGGCAATGCAATGGTGAGCTACATCCAATCATTTGTCCAACCCATCAGGACAATCTGTTTGTTTGTCCTCCTCCCAGAGAGCAGTCTTGACATCATCAAGACTGACCTCACTGCTGTTGTGGGTGGGAGCAATTGGATAGCCACAACAACCCGATTGGTGGTCCCTCGGTTGCTGGGGTAAATCTGGCCAATGGGATCGTTTTCCTGCATTAACCGAGGGACCTTTATATACCGCTGTGCGTTGCATTGAACTTCCTCTTTTCGCCTGGTGCATTGCATCACCCGCCCACCCTTCCCTATATTTAGGGTTCATTATGACCTTGCTATGCCGTCGTGGGTCGTTTGCTTTTGGGGTAGGGGCCCGGTAGGAATTTTCCCATTTGGCTGATTGCCTGTTGCCATTTGGGTTTCGTCTGCCATGTAGAAAATCGTCACAATTTTGTAAGGTTTGGCGGTTAGGCATTGGTTCAAGGTGGAGTGGAGGGGAGGTTGTCACACCTGCCCCTTCCATGAGCAAAGGATATTCCATTAAAGGAATCCAGGGGCTCGCCTTGCTTTGTCCAATCCCCTTCCAGGGGTTAGGGCCACGCCAGAGCCCCTGGGAGCATTTGGGGTGAGCCTGAGTCTGAACCTGGTCCAATGCTCCCCCAGGATGTTTGACTCTGCCGGAGTCCAGGCCTCAGTGCGGTCCTGCTGAGGTCAGGTGCAGCTAGTCGGGAACCAATGCCTAAGCAAACCACTCATGATCTGTAATCAATAAAGTTGTGGCCAAAATTATGCCAATAACCTTAAACTAAATTCCGTGTCAATTGTCTCTTTATTTACTGAGGAAGGTCTTGGGGTCTTAACACACAACACTTACAAACATAAGACTAATCTCTAACAAACTAGGCATTCCCAAGCAATCACAGGCGTGAATATATTAAACACCTTGCAGGGTTAGCCCTAGGATACTGGACTTTTAACTTTCTCATGTGAACAAGAGACTTGCATTCAGTGATAATGTTAATTGGATGGATAATTATCCAACTGGTTTTTTTAAAAAATGAATTGAAGGCAAGGAAACTCATAAGGAAACTGAAATTTTGCCTCTAAGGTGTTATTGAAACTCAGCACAGGTTACCTTTCATCTATTAACCATCTTCTGTCTATCATCCCACATAATAAGACTACAGGGTCAAAAAATAATGGGCAGCATCTGAATGCCAAAAGCAGAATATGTTAGCATATGCTTTTAGCAATTTTGGTTGTAAATGATCCTTGTTGTATCTTCTACGCAGATGCTTTTAAAACATATGTCAATGGGCTTTTACGGCATGATATTCTGTTCTGATTAATTAATCATACACTTTTTTTCAACTTCAAGTGAACTTTCTAATGAAAAGTATTCATTATTTCTTCTGCTGTTTGTTTATAATGCATCTGTATGCTGCACGGTTTGAGCATATTAATTATAATAAATAAAAAATAAGGAAAGCAGCAGGTGTTCTTCGATGCAGTCTAAAAAGAATTTTATTTTTGCAAGTTTTTTTCCAGAGTTGTTTTGTTCCTGCTGTTACATACTGTAAGTTTTGCGATATAAATATTTCTTACAGAAATACATGCATAAAACATAACTAATATATTATAATTGGTGGTCGTACAAAATTGCTCCCTGCATTTCTGAGAGACTGACCTTTGAACACAGAAATGAATATATGTTGCACAGAAGTCTGTTCCCAAAGTTTTATTGCAATGGCGGCTGAAGAAACCATAGCTTCAGCTAAAGCAGCCACTTATAATTTATGAAGTTGCCTCATGCTATCAGATCGTTGGCCTACCTAGTATTGTCCAAAGTGGCAACCAATCCCTCCTTGTAAAATATAAATCTGCGTAGCAACGGATCATTTTTCTATACTCAGATGAAGGGTGGTATAGAAATTTAATTAATAAAACAACAACAACATCTAGCATCATTTCCAAAAGTGGTGACACCAGCTTCCCAATATCTTAGGCAAACAACAGGGGTGTAGTGGCAAATTTGGAAGTGAGAACCCGCACAATCATACCCCCAAGAAGAGTCCAAACATGTAGGTGATTGTGTTGATCTGTTTTACACAAACAAATACATTAAAGAGCCTCACTACACAGCATAAAACCCAATTTATTAGGAGCAGAATGACTGTGGTCTTGGGCATAGTTTCCTGGGAATAAGCTCCACTGAGCTTAATGGTACTTAATTCTGATTGCATAGGTTTCATAAATGTCTTCAGTCAGAGCTGAAATCCAA